CCTAGCTCTTGGGAGGCCGAGGCGGGCGGATTGCTCAAGGTCAGGAGTTCAAAACCAGCCTGAGCAAGAGCGAGACCCCGTCTCTACTATAAATAGAAAGAAATTAATTGGCCAACTGATATATATATAAAAAATTAGCCGGGCATGGTGGCGCATGCCTGTAGTCCCAGCTACCTGGGAGGCTGAGGCAGTAGGATCACTCGAGCCCAGGAGTTTGAGGTTGCTGTGAGCTAGGCTGACGCCACGGCACTCACTCTAGCCTGGGCAACAAAGCGAGACTCTGTCTCAAAAAAAAAAAAAAAAAAAAATATACAATAATCAAGCTAAAAGGCAAACAACAAAGACGGGGGTGCAACCAATGTGAGAAAATAAGTAAACATTCTTAACAGATAAAAATTCCTAATTAAGTAATTTTTTGCTAAAAGCACACATTAATACTTCCATTGAGAAATGGATAGAGAACATAAAGAAGTCAGAAAAATCTGAACATAATTGTGAACTGCCCAATTTTCTATAGGGTACTAGACTGTTTTGTAGTAGAAGAGGGGAAGAACTTTTTAAAAGTTATTAGGTGACTTTTTTTGAATTTTCTGTGTTTTATAATTTTTCTAGGATGCAGAAATGAAAAAGGCTTCTTTTCAAACTATAAGCATTAAGTAATACTTAGTGGTTGATCGGTCTAGAAAAGAATTTAAATACAGCAGGTCCTTAAATAACATCCTTATGTTGTGACATTGATTAAAAAAAAAAATGGATTCCCAGCTGGGGTCCCTGTCTGCATGAGTTTTCTCCAGGTACCCCGGTTTCCTCCCACATCCCAAAGTTGTGCACATGAGGTGACCGGCGTGTCTACGTCTACGCAGTCCCAGTGTGAGTGACTGTGGGTGTGGGACAGCATCCTGAGCTGCTGGGAAAGGCTCCTGCCACCCACAACCCTGAACTGGAATAATTGGGTAAATAATTTACCTTCCTTGTTTTTATCAATCTTTCTTCAATGTATGTGTTGCTCACACTTATTTCAATGTTTAATATTAGAAGTGTTTTTGGTCTTTTATTTAGAAGTTCGGTGATGTTTTTGTAACCAGAAATATGCCCTAGGAACTTAACTCTCTCTGTCACTCAACCTACGGGAAATTGGTTTTGTAATGCAGTTTCACTGAAAGCCCCAGTTTCCAAGAACCTATCAAAGACGTTAAGTGCGGGCTCACTGTGCTTTTCTTAAGAGATTCCAACTCTTTCTCTACCACACACATGGCAAACAAGATTCACACTACATGTCACAGAAGCATCTGGGATGCTTTTTAAAACCTAACCCTGTCTATCCAAGCTAACCAGAGTGCTGTGATCCCTGGTCGGCCAACATCCTCCAGCCCAGGTGAACCCCCCTCTTCTATGAAGCACTCCCTCAACCCTCCAGTGGAGGGCAGCACCCGGCCTCCTCAACTCCCGCCCCACCCCAGTGTTACCTATTTCTACTTGACACATTTGCTTTATCCAAACCCACTCCACCCTTTCCTTTAAGCTCCTAGCAGCTCTAAAGAGATGAGAATTCAACTTCTATCCCTATAGAGCACTTGACTCCACATCCAATAGGTGCCCAGGTGACATCTGTCAGAGGACTAGTGAACCAGCCAGCATAGGACTGAAGTGGCACCAATACCAAGAGCCACCATAGGATCATGTTTGCTTGCTCAAGAGTGACAAAACCAGCACCTTAGCACTATTTGGCCAGAAAGGTCATAAGCCACAGTGGTCTGTCATGTCACCCCAGATCCCAGCACGCAGAGAATGGACAAAAACCTGGGTAATTCTTGTTTGGCATGCCAACAGGGAGCAAGCCATAAATGGGATAATGCAAAAACTGCAACTGCATAAGCCAGGCCCCACACTAGACACTTGGAGGACATTATCAAATTCACTTAATTCTCACAATAACCTTCTGAGACAGGTGTAATTAGTCATTTTACAGACCAGGAAACTGAGGCTTAGAGGTCTTAAGTAACTTGTCCCAAATCAAATAGCTAATTAAAACACCCAAAAAGGATTCAAACCAGGAAGAATCAAGTCTTCCTGAAAAACACTCTGGTACTCCAAAACTGAGTGGTAGGGTACATTCCAGAGCACCTATGCTTGTCCCTATTATAGCACTTATCACTGTATTTTTATTGCTTTTTTTATTTGACAGTCTCACACGGAACTGCTAACTTCTCGAAGGTCAGCTGCTATTTTAGTTCATAGTAATATCCGAGGACCTCTCACACCATATGCCATATGATAGGCACTAATAAATGTTGTATTACCAGATAAAAAATGTGATTAAATCAACATTGTTTCTGCTTTATCAAACATAATTTGAGAAATTATTCAGACAAGTTTGTTTTTTGCCCATATTTTGCAGTCACTTATGGAATCTTGGGAAGTCAGATTTTATTAAAAACGTATTCATTAGACATAGTCTTGGAAAGAAATTTGAGGGGAGGGTCTGTTAATGGGCTTATGTGGTAAGTCATAAACTATAAAATAAGCATTTGTTAACCTGCTACTTAAATTTTTTTATTCTATTGGGCAGAATTATAATGGGCTCCTTCCAAGGTAGCATTTGGGCAGACTCTGTTGTCAATATAGCTAACTGCATCCACTTGCTATTTCCATGCTACTGCTTGCGCCAACTCATATTTTCATTACTTGACTGGTCAAATGTCTGAAAGAGCAATTTTAAATTCTCCCACTGTAACTCTTACCATGTTCTGGTATTTCTCAGAGTTTTTACTCAATCTACTTGGCTCTTGTACTGTTTGGTACCTATATTAGTTTCCTGGAACTAAATCTACATCTGAAGAGCAACAGTGACCAACAAAGTACTCTGGGACACTTGACCATGAACACCAAGCTCCTCGGGGGATGTTTGAGAGCTTCACAAGGGGGTAAGGACTGAGCTAGGCCTTGAAGGAACTCTGAACGGTCACTCAATAAGATGCTTCAGGGAACAACTCGTGTCCTGCAACAGCAAATGTCCTTCTTTAACACAGGTTAGAACCTAGCCAGCATGTAAGAAAATGCAGCAAAACCTCCAAAGTGGAGATACAAGCCCAAAGCAAACAGATATGACTCAAGGAGAACATATCCAAACAGAAGCAAAACAGAAGAAATGAATTCCTGGGGGCTTTCTGAAAAATCTGATTTACAAAACCACCTAGCGGTTCAGATTCCTTTCAACCACAGTTACACAAGTAACTGGGCCTTCAGAAAGCGGAGAAAGCAAGAGTACAGGGAACTGAAAAAGCTTCGGTGCAAGGCAGAGGGTATGACAGTACCAGATGGGGAAAAGGAGAAGAGGAAAGAGAAGATTAAAATGTTGACCCTGACGTCTAAAAATTCTGACGTGGTCAACTTTTAACCACTTCGGTACGAGCGTCGACGATAGTCGACAGCCACAGATGAACACGCACAGCGACTTTAGCCGACAGCCGGGATATGACTTTTCTAATTTTTCATTTATCAAAATAAAATTGTGGAAGATGGCGGACGAATAACACCGCCAGACAGAGGGTCTCTGCAAAAAAGACAGATTCTAGCAGAAACTAGAGGAAAGAAGCAGGAAGTCGAGCATACAGCGGACAAGGGCCAGAAGGAGGGGTACCTGAGACCCCGGGAGACTCCACGGGAGGAGGCTGCGGAGGAGAACTGGAGGCTGAGACCACCGGAGCAGCCCAGAGACCAGCGGCAAGGGTAGGTGGATTCGCTGTTTCCCCTCCCCTGCATTCGGGACTGCTGGTGGGCTCCCCAGCGGGTGGAGAGACCTGCGGACACCAGCCCAGAGATCGCCGCCGCCTGCCAACGGTGAGCCTGTAGCAGACGTGGCACCAGGTTCCCAACTTC